CCCAACTTGGTGTCGTCTGCAAACTTGCTTAGGGAACACTCAATCTCCTCATCCAGATCGTTGATAAAGATCTTGAACAAGACCGGCCCCAAAACTGAGCCCTGGGGAACACCGCTCGTGACCGCCCGCCAACTGGATTTAACCCCATTCACCACAACTCTCTGGGCTGGGCCGTCCAGCCAGGAAGAGTGTACCTGTCTAAGCCGTGAGCTGCCAGCTTCTCTAGGAGAATGCTGTGGGAGACAGTGTCAAAGGCTTTACTGAAGTCCAGGTAGACCACATCCACAGCCTTTCCCTCATCCACTAGGCGGGTCACCTGGTCATAGAAGGAGATTTCTGCCGGTGTGACTAACAAGCCATTAATTCTAACAAGGTCAAGCTGGGGTTAGTCCTGGGATATGTTCAGTCATTTGAATCAGTGCCTTTTTCTGTAATCAGAGATATAACAGAAGGGTTATTAGTGTTTCATCTCAGTTCAACTTCACCCAGCCAGGGAAGACCCTGGCTGGACAGAAATGTGGAGAGCTCTCCTCATACACACTGAAAGGACAGAAAGCCAGAGACTGGGAAGTGTAAGGTGAGATGACTTGTTTTAGAATAAAGCCCAGGGGTAAGATTTACTTAAACAAACAGGAAAGTTTGGCTTTTAACCCCTTTTTTAATCCCAGACTAAATTTCAAGATCTGGTAAATCAGATTTTGAAGCAGTGTGTTTCATACCAATCAAAAATTCAGCACTTGCATACCCAGAGCTGAACTCAGCTGAAAAGCACAACTTGTGAAGTAGGGAGTATAGTAAACTAACTAACCAGCTAGCCTAAGGAAAACTCAACCATGGGGGTTGTCTCTGGGAAGGTAAAAGATTGTCCGAAAAGAGGTATTTTCATGGGAAGGCAGAGCATGGGAGCATTGAGAACGGTTTCCCATTCCTCTGTAGTGCTCAGACCACGTGTGCTCTGTGATTTGTTAGCCGCTTGAAAATCATATATTATGTTTTTATTCTGTGCTGATCAATTTTATTTATTGTTATATTTCATGTCTGATAACTGGAAATAAAAAATGCCTGAGAGAATTTTTTATGGCCTTAACCAAACTTCTGAAAGAGATTCATGCATATAAGTCTGAGAGAGATTAATTCTAAGGCACATAACTCAAGGCCTCGATACTTCTTAAAAGTTCAGGTTCCTTTTAGCACCTGATACAAATGAACAAAAGTCTTGATGAAAATGCAGATGGTAGTTGTTTTACCATTACTGACTCATATCGACCAAAACAGAAACTGGAAAAGATAAAGAGCCTGGAGGTACAACAGCCATAGCAATGCAATTATAGTGTAACATGGAAAGGTAAGGCCTCGATAATTCCCTTGATGTCTATGTAATTGTAGTGGCCTCCTTGGTCTCAAAGATCATAAATAATAAGGATGAAAAATATCCCTTCTCAACAGTCGACTTTTGTTTCCTAATTTTCATAGGGACACCAAGCAATTGTTCAGTAATTTTTCTACATTCTTCTGCCAGTTGCTGCAGGCATGTTGCTTGCTACAGAAGAACAGGACGTGATAAACAGCGTTAGTAGATCAACGTTTCATTAGGAATATGAAACGATGGCATGACTCGCAAAAAGCATTCAATACTTGTACAGATTGCACTTACTAAAGGGAGTTGATGTAGGTTAAAAACATAAGATCTGAAAGATAATATCGTCCCTCAGATATGTTCATAAGTACTGTGTTATTTTAAAGGCAAGAATAATTTAAACCTGTTTTAAGTTGCATTTTTTTCAGGGCTAAAAAAGGCAAATGTTTGATAGTATATGACAATTCAACACAATGATTTTCAGGAACAAAGTCTTACACAAAAGGAAAAAAAAAGCTTCTTTAAATTCATTGAATCACAAAACCTTTCAGCGAGTCTGCACAGTCAACAGATGCCAGAGATTTAAAAGGAACACCTCAGGAGTATAAGGCTGCACCATAAAACCTGAATGAACTATTTTCAGTAGCGTTCACTACAAGGGAACTTAGGGAGGATCTTCTATTAAGACTGAACTTCTCTTATTTGAAGTTTCAGTAGAAGAAATTTTAGAAGAAATATTGACATTACAATTACTAACAAATCCCCAAGGCCAAACTCATATATGGAAGGAAGTGGTATATACCATTTTCCTTCACCGGGCCTCAGGCCTAGAAGGAGTGTAAGTAGAAAAGGTGCTTTTTTTTAAAAAGGGACTCCTAGGAACATCTGAAGAACTACAGACCAGTAAGTCTGACTTCTGTGTCAAGTGTTTTGATAGAAAATGCATAGAAAAGTACAATTAGTAGGATTGTATTTATCACTTTACCATACAGTCATATATCATGAACACAGCTTTTAAAGAGGGAATTCAAGCTTCAATCTGCGTACAACTTTCCTGAAGAGTATGAGTAGGAATGGTCAAGGTAACACTGTGTACTTTCATTTCAAACAGCTCTTGACAGGGTCACTCGTCAAAGGCTGTCAAAGAAATTAAATTCTGAGAGGGATTGAAGGACAGCCCCATTTTGTTTAATAACAGATAAAAAAAAATCCACCTGTTGTAGGAGTATCTCATCAGTTTGGAGAACTGGGAGATTGCCAGTGAAGCCACAGAATACTTTTCTGGGACTTCACAATTCAACATATAAACCATCTAGAAAGGAAATGAACATGGAGGTAGAAAAGCTTGTTGATAAAAAATTATTAAGGATAGTTAAAATTAAACCTAACTGTGAAGACCTGCGAAAGGATATTGTGATAATAGAGTGGATAGGTAATAAATAATGTCACCCAGTACAAATTTATATAATACCTAAACTGAAAAATATAACACCTTTACTAGATACTATCAGGAAAGAGATTAGGATGCCATTGTGGATGAACATCAGCTTAAGTGCAAAAAGGCAAATGGAACTGAATTGTGAGGAAAGCAATAAGGAACAAACAAAGCCAAAAAAAAAAGCCCAAGACAAAAAACCTGTGATAGAAAGATCTACAGATTCAATATTGCTGTGCGGTTCTCATCTTCCCACCTCAAAATGGTAGAATGGAATTTGAAATGGTGCAACATGGGCACTACGAATGATCACAAGTTTATTAAAGATTGACTGTAAGGAAGGATTAATAGTCTGGGATTTTTCAGTCTGTAAAAGACATAGCTAAAAGGGGATATGACAGATATCTTATAAAATCATAAATGACTCAACTGAGATGAATCAGATGAAGTGGTATTCATAATCACAAAAAGAAGCCAGAAAACAGTAAAAGAAGTCACAAGGAATGTAATTAAATTATGAAATTTATTGACATAGTACAAGCCAGTGGGAATATATTTTTTTATGACAGATTAGACTAGGAATGATTTCAGTCTAGGATGGGGAAAATTTTAATTGATTACAATTTGGTTGATGCCCTGACTTTATTTTAATACCCAGGACAAAGGTTAATTTCCTTTTTTCTACAAAAAAATACCTTTTAAGCTTTAATGACAGAACTGGTTAAGAATTTGCCTTTTCATACAAGGCGCAGTTTTTCTCCACAAGTTCATAAAGCAATGTCAAAACATTGATTTAGTCATGTTTTTGAGGAAAAATAGGTCACAATTGCTAGTACATTTAATACTTGCATGATTATGTTTTTAAAAAAGAAATCTACTGCTACTTATAAAGCCACATTATTTATGGAATTACATTGTTTGAATTAAAAGCATTTTATGCTTTCTACTTCTGTTATTTGATTCACATATCAGACACATTTACATTTTCTAACCAAACTTAACCCCCCAAAAACATGTTTAAATGCATATATGTTTAGACTTCCTCTCAGAACCAAGCTGCAGGAGCCTGTGGGACAACAGGAGGGAGAGAGTGCAGCCCCACTGGAAACTCCTGAGTCCCATGAGGAACATTTGAAGGGCTAGAAGCATATGTTTTACCATTTCAGCCTTATATATTTTTTTTGCTCTGATAGGTTGTGGGTTGCTTTTCTGTCTATCTCTGCCAGCTGGTCTTCTCTCAGCTGCAATCTCATATTCCCCTACTTCCATGTTCCTACTTATGCTGCTTTCTTTTCTCTTTCTTGCATAAGATACCTCTTTTCTCTCCTTTCTTTTCCTCTGTTGTTCTTATTTACTTGCTTTAAAATTCTTTGGAAACTCTTGATTGATTTTTATAGATTTAGACTAGACTTGTCTTGTTGCTACTGTGTCCACAAGTCAGATTTTATTCAGTTTTCCTCATCTAAAAATCTGAACAATTCTTACTTTGTTTAATATAGCTTTTAGTTCCTGAGTATTGCTTACCCCAGTAACCCATCTTCTGTCTAACCGAATGCAGCTGTTAGAGTCATATTCTTCTCCTGCCATTCTGATTATGACATTTCCTCTAAGTCACATCAAATACAAACCTCTCACCTCGCCTTATAAAACCTGTCTCCCTTCCCTGCTCATTTCTCATTTCCTAAACTCTTGTGATTTTCCAAAGCTGTCAGTCACTCCACAGCAAATTCCAGATAACTCTGTTGATTTCAGTGTTTATATTTTTCACATTCCTGAATGTTTTTCTAGTTGTATCTTACAGTACTAAGAGTGTTGTCCTGATAAAATTGATCATCTCCTAAATTAAAAGGATCACTGAAAATTAAATAACTGAACTTTGTATGTGTCTGCATATCTCTGTTTGTATCTGCATGCGCAAATGCTCTTACATCATTTGAGTTATTCTTGCTGAGCTTAGAAGGTCCTCAGTCGAAGACGGCATGATATGTTGATTTATTTGTCATAATTGTCACTGCATTGGTAAACAAGGCTTTGGTCTATGAAAATTCTCACCCTTCTAAAATTGATTGCCTGCTTTAGTCTTTCAAAATGTAAATATTAACCCTTGTTTGAGAAAATACATCCTTTTTCTTAAGCTCACCGTTGTGCTGCTGGTAACCCTGAAGAGCATTTTAGAATATGTACTGGACCTGAGCAGAGAATATCAGATCAAACGAGGCTATCTCCATCAATTACTAGCTTTACTGCTGGTCAGGTTGAAAAAGCAAGCCACAGGGTTTTTCTGTGATAATCTCAAAAAAACCTGATGATAATTCATATTTTAAACATTCCTTATTTTCCAGGTGTGATGGGGGAATATGAACCAAAAATTGAAGTCCATTTTCCTTACACAGTTACAGCTGCAAGGGGAACCACTGTTAAGATGGAGTGTTTTGCACTTGGCAAGTAAGTACAGATTCTTCCATAATTAGACATCATTGTTTATTAAGATGTGACATGCCTAATTTGTGGTTTCATTATTTTGCTGGATTTGATTTTCACAGACAGTCCTTACTGCACACTCAAAGTAACCAATTGACTAAGTAGCCAATTACGAATTCCCTGCCCACCCATTTCTGTGGACAGTAATTCATTCAAGTTAAAAGACTCTCTGTCAAATGAAAAGTAATGTTCTTGTAAACAAAAAAAAGAAAAGTTTTTTATTGAAAATTTTACCAGACTCACCTATTTATTTACTGTGATACTATAAATCAGTAAATTAGGCTTTGTTCTGCCAAAATATCACAGTTGGAGAATAAACAAGATTAGTAGCTTTTTTTTTCCCCAAATGCATAATTTATATATGAAGCTAAGAGCACAATGTTTTAAACATGTCCTAATGCACTTTGTGTCAGTGCCAATTCTCTAGTTTCTACCTGACCTAATAGCACTACTAGAGAACAGGTGTTTAGTATTCATGTCAAGGGGGTTTTTATATCTTTATTGAAAAAAAAAGGTTTTAGAAATACTTCTTTGCTATTTCATACAAATTAAATAAGAAGTGAAATTACTTCTATACCCTATTCAGATTACAGAATGTAGGATGAAATTGATAACATTTCAATTTTGTTGTGGCAGTTACTATTATTATTGTTGACCCCCCGAAGTCATGCTGCTCAATATCATATATCCTGCTTGGTTTTCTAGTTCATAGCTTATCTCGGCACATACAGGTTCCTTACAGCCTGGCTTTGATTAAGAAATAGTGGAAGAATATTTCTTTGTAACTTCTGCGGAGGGACTTCACAAATCAATTAGTCTGAGGAGTACCGTATCTTCTACACCAATTCTTCTTACTTATTTACTTGAGTAGGAACAAAACATAAGAGGAAAGGAGTTTTAAGACAGTAGTCTACTTTCCTGAGGATCACCACTCCAGCTTGCTTGGCAGGTCTGGTTTTCCAGAGCAACTTTTCAAAGCCTGTCTCTAATACCTGAGAGGACTTTTATATGTTTTTATAGTCATTTTGACCTTCATGTGTCACTGGTCACCGGATTTTTTTGTTCAGCTTTTTCTCTTAACAGTTCCTATTTACTGGCTGGATGAGACATGTCTTAAACTTGCTTCCCTTCTTGCCTGTTTTTCCTGTTTGACCAACATCCAGATACTCTCAGTGAGCAGGTCAGCAGCAAGTATTCACAAATAATTACAGAGAAATTCTGACAAAGTATTTTAATTGTATCTATTTAGTCCCAGTGAAGTTGAAAGAGAGACAGGACATAGCCAAACCAGTCCAAACAAAATGTGGGAGACCATAGCCCACATACAGGGAGCCATTATACAGTGACAATGGCTTTTGCAAATTCATTCCCAACATAAATGTAAGCAGTAGTTTAGAAAGCAAATGTGAGGGAAGAACTTCTGTAGGGTAAAACACAAGTCTTATGTTTTATATAATAAGGATAAGGAAAGAGGTACATGAGAGAGGACAGAAAAGCAATAAATGGAGAGATTCTCTGAAATGCTGAAATATAGGAAGAAAAGAGCTGTTCTGAAGAGGCTGGTGGCTACAGGCTCTCTCCTGTCAGCAACACTAACCAATTTTCTGCCAGGTCAATAGTTGGCAACAAGGCCCTTTTAGACTCTTGGCTATGGCTGAAGCAGTAACCAACATACTAGCTTCTGCTTTCTTCATTTTGCTGGAATTAAATTGCACTTGCTGACAGATTACAAGTTAATTGTCACTTTCTGGCGAAGAGGAGGTACGCAACATGTTGTCCTTTGCAACCATCACTGACAGGCAAGAAATGCAGCTACTGATACCTTCCATCATCAGCACCCTGAGATTTAGTAAACTCTCGCAAAAAGAGTCAGTCACTATTCAAACAGCCACATAAGGAAGGTGAAGGTTTACAGGAAAGGCTTCAGTTAGCTTATTTCCACATTCATATTTGGCGTTAACCTTTAATAAACAAAAAACCAAAAACACCTGAACCATCAAGGAATTTAAGGTTATCTAATAAGTTGACCCCATTTGCTGCTGTTGTAATAGGCAGCTATTTTTACCATGCACATTCCTTATCTTCTTTTCGCAGCCATTAATGCACAATCAAATCAGTTGAGTTGAAATTGCTTTTAACCTGATATGGTAATAATTACATGAATGACATTTCAGGCCTCATTTGAAACCTGGAGGCTGAGATGGGAGGTAGAAATGCATCAGATTTCCTATTCATTTTCATCATTTTCACTTTTTGTCCCCATCTCTTATTCCCGATAGCTTGTAAGGCTCTTTTCTTATTACACTGCCATGGATCCCCATTACCAAACTGAATCAGCAACTAATTTGTTCCTTCTTTATTTAGCATTTTGAGATTTGGTGTTTTGAATTCTTATTGTAAATAACACAGAAGTTATTACAGTCTCAAAACCAACGTGCTGCTGTTTTTTCTCATGCTTTAATTTAGCTGTCTGAAACACTCGCTCTTCTCTCTCCACTGTAATTGTGAGAATGACAGATGTTCCAGCGAGAATTCCTGAAGTAGGCATTTGGCAAATATTCCAGAAAGAGACTAGTCTTTAGTTACAGATTAATGATTTATTAATAGTGTTTATTTAGAACTGCCAGTCACAATGGCTGTAGGAATTAAATAAATTGGAGCTGTGCAGCTTTTGTCTCCAAACAAAAATCAAATGTCTTCATTGCTTGACGGACAGAAATTCTCTGAGAAGGGTTTTATTCTGACCCAAGCAATATGTAGCTGGTCCAGTTACAAGTGAAAATATTACTGATGCCACTTATAAATAGACTTTGTTGTTGCTAAAGAATTCAAAGTAACACAGGAGTGAAATACCTCAAAATGATGTTATTTGTATTAGATAATGCTGCTCATAATGAGCATCAGTCATTGGCTAAAAATCACTGCATGTATCCATGATTTACTGCTGAGGTATAACAGAAGACATGGCAGACAGAGGAGTCAAATAAAATGTACTGGTTTATATGTTAGTGTGCATTTACAGCTAGTAATGTTTTGTGATTTGTGTTGGATATTTATGCTGGCCCGCTTTTGTTGAAAGGTTGTGTTTATCGCCATATTCACTTTCACATCCACACAACAACCTGTGTTTTGATTACATCTATGTTTCATATACAGCTGTATCTATAGCATACAGATATGTTTTCTGCCACCCATTTAATTATGTCATTTTTATTAGGAACACTTGAATTTTTGTTTGTTTCCTAACAAGACAGAGGATTTTTCTTTTTTAAACGAATCATTAAAAAAACCACTGGCAATAACAAAGTATTAACATCTTCTATTTTTTTAACTTTTCATAAGAACAGAACTATATCTTTTTTATTTACATAATTTCTAAATCCTGATTAAGATTTACATTAAGCATTGTTAAAATAATAAAATAATAATTAAAAAAAGAAAAAAATCTCCTTTAAAAATTACTGAATGGAAGAATTCAAAACATCTACATTAAAAAAATAAATCTAATCATCAGTATTTTAATATTTGCTTTTGAGTAACACAATTTTTACTGCTTGTATCTTCTGTTATTTAAAAAGACAAGCTAATTTTTTCTAAAACAAATATATGAGCTTATTGGTAACGAGGTGGTTGTTTGTAGTCCAGATAATCCTGGTTTTCTAACAAGATTTCAATGTCAATCCATCATTTCAATGTCAGAACTTTAGTTTATTATGTAAATCAGGAAGACGGATCATGACCTTGTTCTTTGGGTAAGTTCTGGTGAAGAAGTCATGATTTTCCCAGCTGACACTCTTGCACAGATCACAGCATTCCTGGCTTTTCCTGCTCCAGAAATGCAATTTCTCGGGCATTGCCTTCTGCCACAGCAGGTTGCCATTTGCATTTTCTCTCAAATATTACTGACTTTGCTTCCAAGAACATCTGGAGGCAACTGGTTAATTCTTTCATTTCTTTTTTCATGTACTTTTTAAAAAGGAAGAATTCTGATGTCTTCATTTAGCTCCCTATTAAAAAGATATGAAAGTAATGGTGCTGATAGGTAAAAGGACTTTTAAGTTCTGTCCCCACCATGTGACACATTCATATTCACTTTCAGTGACTGCCACTGGAGCGTTCTTTAACACTTCCTGAATTTGGAGTATAATTATCTCACAAGCTATTTTAATACTATTATTTTAATATGGGACATAAAAGCAGGCGTAGATGGAAATATATGGGTTTTCATATATATGGTTACATTTCAAAATGGTTTTCATAATTCGAACAATGATATAGGACTGATTTGTCCAAGCTTGCGTGAAAGGCTGTAAGTTACAACCCTCCTCAATGAGCACAGACCCTTGCCCTCAGAGGAAAGCAAGAAAAAGGAAGTGTCAGAAATATATTGCTCTTTTTTTTTCTTTTTTTTTCTTTTTTTTTTCTTTTTTCTTCTTTTTTTTTCTTTTTTTTTTCTTTTTTTTTTTTTTTCTGGCATATAACTCTAGGTTGACTTTTTTTTTCCCTTTCAAATTACTCTTCTACACCCACTCTTTCACACAGATTTTTTAATGTCAAATTGTGTATAATGCACACACTCTACCTGACCCTCACATTTCAGCCTTTTCCTCACTGCATTTTTGGTCATGCATCACGCCATAGAGCAGCTTCTATTTTATTCTCCATATAAACCTCATACTTCATTGGTTTTCTGGCTCCAGCCAGAAAAAAAAGAATACAGTTTGTATTATGATAGCGCCAACAGCCAATTTTGAGTGAGTAATCATATTTTATTTCTCATTAGAACAAACTAGAGGATGTGGGCTATTGCTGTACTTGTAGGTTACCAAAGTTTTCAATCTTTGCTTTTAAAATAAGATCCCTGGGCTATGCAAACTGCCAAAAAGATTGTTTTGCTAAAAAAATTAAGTTTTATGCATCCTTTTTTTCACTATGGTTATTTTTAAACCACATAGATCAACACA